CAGCCACGGGGTACAGTGTAGCCTGCCAGGTTGTATGGGTTTCTCCATCCTAGACCCAGATTGGGCTCCCAGACTCCTATGTTCAAGTTCTAGCTCAGTTCTTAACTCTGTGACCTCAGGCAAGTCATTTAACCTGTGTTTCCTGTCTTCTCAAGGTAGGAGTTAAAATGGAACTGGCTTCACAGGACCATGACAAAGACTAGATACTCAGCCCAGTTCCTGGCCAAGTGTCAGCACGGACCGTCCTCGCTCATTAGTCATGTGTTTACAGTGTACTGAGTGTGCTCAGTAAATTAGTCAACCCTCAAAGGAACCCCATGTCTCCTGGGAGGTTACTTCCATTGCCCCAGGTGCTGGGGGCTAATCAGTGTCCTTGGGAGCTCAGGCAGACTAACTTGAACCCTTGGCCTGCCTGATGACCCAGACCTGTGTTGCTGGCTAGTAGGCAGGGCTGAGGGGAAGACAACCAGGAACTGGAGGGCTGACCTTGGAAGCCCTTCTGAGGAAATGCTTGTGTTGTCTTTGCAGGCTAAGCCACAGGAATTATCTCTTGGAATCTCCTCACAAATTCAGTGTTGCTGACCTCCAGCAGGTGAGCATGCCATGCTGCCCACCCCTAAATCTTAGACTCATAAGTAGGTTCTAAATCCTGAAGAAATCACAGAGAAATAGCAGAAGGGACACCTGTCGTTAACTCAGGCCACCCCTCAGAATGGCTGCCCTCCTGCCCTCCACCTCTTGACTAACCAGGGGCTCCAGCACCCCAGGAATGAGAGCAGATTGGCCTTTCCTTCAAGGACAGCATCCATAAGGACCATGCCCCACTGACCTGAGGTGCAGGCCAATGCCTGTATCAACAGCCTGATGCAGGGAGTTCTCCTTGCCCTTGTGGAACCAGGGGAGTCCTGAGGTAGGTACTGTGGTGGTGTAGTGGGGCCATCTGAGACTGGTGTCCGCTTGCACCTGCAGATTGCAGAGGGGGTGTATGAAGGATTCCTCAAAGCCCTGATTGAATTCGCCTCCCAGCATGTCTACCACTGTGACCTGTGCACCCAGCGGGGCTTCATCTGCCAGATCTGCCACCACCAGGACATCATCTTTCCCTTTGAGTTTGACACCACAGTCAGGTACCCCACAACCACAGCCTGGCCAGCATCCCCACTTAACCCTCACCCTGCTTTGCAGGGACGTACTGAACATCCACAGCCGCCTCTCAGCCCCTTACTCCCTACCCCTGCTGCCTCTTGAAATGGGAGTCTTTGACTCAGTCCACAGATGGCTTGAGGGGCTGACAGAGTGTGGTCCTAGAGCACTAAGTGGGCACTAAGCATTATTAGAAGCCCTTGAACAGGGTGTACACCCCGGTCTTCCCTCACCTCAGGTAGGAGTGGAAGGCTAGGCCAGGGAATAATCTACTCACCTTCAGTAGGGAAACCAGCCAGTATCAGCTCTGGGCCTGCCTGGGCTCTTGTTTCAACTGCTCTAAAGCTAGGCTAGAAGTCATGTAAGCAGTCAAGCAGCACTGGCAAAGAGTGACATGGGACATGGGCATGGGGGGTCACTTACAGGTTCAATGTCTGACGTACTTTCCAAAAGAGTTGGAGAGCAGCACATGTGGGCGCCAGCTGCTAACAAAACACAGCCTCTCTGAGTTCTGTCCTTGGCCCCGGCACATTGAGAAGACTGGCACTAGTGACCCCCGTGCTCTCTTTTCAGGTGTGCTGAATGCAGAACTGTCTTCCACCAGAGCTGCCAGGCTGTGGTGAGGAAGGGCTGTCCCCGCTGTGCCCGCCGGCGCAAGTACCAGGAACAGAACACTGTTAGTTAACCCTGCTGTCCTGACCTTCAAGGCCATCCAGCTAGGTTTGTCATCAGCCTAGGCTTCTCCTTCCCCCTGTAAGGAAGACTCTCGGGTGTGCTCAGCTCCAGCCTACAGAGAAGGTGCAGGAAGTCCCAGTGATGCCCGAGGCCCCTCACGACCCTTTTGCTCCAGGAGGAGCTCCAGCAGGTGCCTCTGCACAGGGCCTGGCTTACCTAGCTGTCATGGCGCCTCCATTAGGGCTGTTCATACATACACTGTGGAAACGAAGCTTGGTGAGCATTTTCAAACCATGCTCCTGATTAAAAGCTCTAGTTTTTTAAGGCAGGTTTTCTCCCCTTCATATATTTAAACAGAAAATATTTTTTTATTCTTGACTTACGTAAGTCACCCAAGAAATACAACCCTTTACCCAAGCAGATGGGTAAGAGCAACCCCAGCCCAGAGGCAGGCATGGAGCTGGGTGGACAGGCCTTTGTGGGGTCGGCCTGTCTGTGAACTGGGTGCCTTTCCTTTGCCCTCTCTGGCACATACTGCCAAGAGTGCAAGTGTCATGTGCCAAATGGCCTGTCATTGTAAGGCTGGTTGGTTTCAGTGACCCCTTTCCCTCCCCTCCTCATGCTCTCACCTAGAAAGCATCCCCCCCTCCGTCAGAGCCCCTGGCTTACCTAGCTGGGCGTACAGCAGGAGCAGGGGATGACCAGCACCAGCACTGTCAGCACTTTGAGCCTTCCTTGCTCAGGAAGGCCACAACCTTGTCCATCTCATCCCCATGCCCTCTTAGTCCTGCAGAGTAGAGTAGGCTCAAAACCAGAGCGCGCCAAGCTCCATCTGTGGAGAAGAGGCGCCAGCCTTCGGCTACAGACATAGAGGGATCCGCTATGCAGAGCTTCACCAGACCTAGTCTCCCAAAGCCTTGAGTTCGTAACATTTCTTGAGTTTTCACCTTGCCCAGCAGGACAGTGCAGCACCCAAAGGACTTTCTGGGAGCGGGGTTGCCCTTAAGAGGCTCTTAGGTCTGATCCTGAAATTGTTTCCCAGTTGATGGTCATAGCCTTGAGGCCTGTAGAGCTGTAGGGATGAACCCCGAAACCCCTCTGGCTATCCCAGACCACCCAACTTAGAGCCAGAGGCCTCGAATGGAATGGAGGACCTCCCTGGAAATGTGCCTGTCACATCTAGAGAAGAGGTGTCCCCACCCTCCCTGAGGTAAATGAGCTGAGTCACCTGAAGTTTGAATTTTGCAATAAAACATAAGAGACAGGAGGCAGATGGCAGAGGCTGCCACACAGTTAGTTCATCTGTCCCCATCATGGAAGACAGTGCTCACCAGTGGTTGAAACACCAAAGCCTCCAGAACCACCCAGTGTGTCCATGTCTGCGCCCCTAGCTAGCATTAACACATCCCCCAAACTACAGCCTGATCAGAGCCTCCTTGGTTTTGGATCCTGAACGGGCAGGAGTCTGTCCTCTGTGGGCCTGTCACGTGAGAGTGTACTCCAGAACCTGCCTAGGAGGTGGAGTCCTCCCCTGCCTGCACTGTGAGCACTGGAGGTGTCCTCGCCCCTTTACCAAGCTGCTGATGTGCTCAAGTGAGAGACTTCCCCCACCAGAAGAGAGCTCACGGGAACCTCTGCAGCGCTCACACTATTGGGGGGGAAACGTTATTTTATGCAATATTCTGACAAGTAGGCCTTGGCAATATAGAGAAGAAACTGCTGCTGTGGTATTTGAATGATTTTGCAGTAAAGAGCTGGTCTTTCTTAGCAGTCTTGTTTCTGAATCTCAATTGTACGGCTCCTGGGGAAACACCAACTAGCTCCCCTTAATCCTATGCACTGAGCATTCAGGGTCCCTGGAGCACACTTGCCAGACCAAGCAGCAAGGGAGAAGAGGTAAGAGAGAATTTAGGTTGCCCTGGGTGGAGGTGGGAGGCTTTCCGATTTACACTCCTCATCTGCAACAACTCAAACTAGCTTTCTGCCTTAAATGCCCAGAAATAGACCATCCACACCACACACACACACACACACACACACACACACACCTACCTGTAAAAGCAGGAATCTGGGCATAGAGAGAGGCAAGCAAGGAAATTAGGCCCTGGCTCCTACACTCATGGATTAAAGACTCAAGAGACCTGTCTGCTGCTAGCCTTCCCCAGGGGCTCCAGAAGAAGCCCCCCCCCCCCGCCCCTGTTAGGACAAAAGAAGGAAACAGACTAATTCCTAGGGAAACCGGGTTGCAGGAAAATGGGACAGAAGAAGACATCCAGGACTTCATTTCCTGACCTTGAGGACCTGCAGCCAGGGAGTCAGGTGCTTCTTGGCCATCTCTGAGCCAGGCTCTCCAGGGGCCTGGGCTCAGAGGAAGGAGGAACTGGATTTGGAGGTTGGGGGTGGGTGGCAGGCCCAGAAGAGGCGGCTGACACTTGCGCTGATGTTGCTGTCTTTGGTTCAGTCTTTCCACCTTCAGCACAGTGCCTCTGAAGGCAGTTTCCCCTTTCTCCACTCTAGAGGGGAATGGGAAAAGTGGGGTTCTCATCCCCAGAAAGTGCCTCCTATAATGAAAGTCACTAATAAAGTACATGTGCTCACCTCCATTGTGTTTAGTGTGTGTTTGATTTAACCTCCCCCGCAAGCGTATGGGAGGAGTTAGGACCCATATCTATAAAGGCTAGCTTGTGTCATAGTTGGGCATCAGGCTGCTGTATGGACAAGGACCTGGCTGGCTGGCCTGGTGACTAGGGCAACTTGGGAGAGACAGGATGGAGGGAAAGCTCACCCCCTCATTTTATGCCTATGCCTTCCCTGATGGATCCTAAGATACAGACCACACTGCAGACTCCTTAGTGGACAAGACTAACAAAGGCAAAATATGGAAGAAGAAATTGGGGGAGGTCTGTCCCGCTGAACCCTCAGCCCTGGGACACTAGAAGGACATTGGCCTAGTGTGGGGGCTCCCTTCTCTGCTCATGAGCCTTCAGCCCCTCCTAACGGAGCACCTAGTTGGAGTCCACACTTCCTTGGAAGCCAGAGAAAACAAGCACTCTGGGCCTGGGGCTTGCCCTTGCCAGAAATGTTCACAGGCACACCTCAGTGGTAAGGCTGCTTTCCCAAGGGGCAGGTAGTTTCCGAACTGGGAGGATCCTGAAGCTACACTCAGGCTGCCTGTAGATTACTGGACAGTGACTCTTCCTCCGACAAGGATGAGGGTCAGTGGGAGCGTAATCTGGCCAGAAGCTGAGAGAAACTGCCTCCCCCGCAGATCTCCATCCAGGCCCTGCCACCGCCTCCTCCCCGGAGACAGCCAGGTGTGGCCCAGGATCCCGAGGAAGAGGGGGAAGGGTGGCGTCTCTCCTCCTAGAGCGCTGGCCCGGCCCAGAGGGGACAGGAAGCCAGGACACCGGGGATTGTCTCTTGCAAGCACAGCCCAGCCCCAGCTTGGGAGGAAGTTCTGCGGAGCGCTCTCCGCCGGTTGTATTGTTGAACAGGAAACAGGGCATCGCCGAAGCAGGGCTGTGGAGCAGGCAGCGCCGGACGCGGACCCCACGCGCGTCTGCCGGGACAAGTGGAAGCTAGGCCAGCGGGCGAAAGTTCTAAGGTGCCCGGGCCGGGCTGGACGGAGGGAGGAATGGCGTTGGGGAGGATGGCGCTGAGTAGTGGGAGGGCGGGAAAGGTGCCCCCAGGTGGCCGTCCCCACCCTAAGGCCCGGCGCACCGCCTGCTCTTGCTGCACAGGGGCTAGAGCAGCGCGAGCCTGGAGGAGGACCCGGAGGCTCAAACCCCGGGGAGGAGCTTTAGGCGTAAGGCTGCCTTCTGGGAAGAGAGGTGAAGCAGCCGAAGTCCCCTAGTGCTGACTTAGATATCAGTGACGCTATGGCTAGGGACGACCGAGAGCAGAAGATACAAGAGACCTACTGGCTAAGGGTGCGATCTTGCTTCCAGGGATCCTCTCGGCTCTTACATCCCTCCCTGCTCTTCGCTCTGCCCGGATAATGGGATCTGAGGCACAGGTCCCCTAGTCACACAACCCGAGACACTGCGCCCCTGACAATGAGCATCCCTGCAAAGGGACTCTAGTTTTTCCAGGCCCGGACGGGCTGCTCCCAGAGAGGCCCTCAGAGGGCGGAGGTGCTCCAGGAATGGGTAGTGCTCTTAATCCGGCTGCAAAAAGGGCTCGCAGTTCGTGATTCACGGAGCAAAAGGCCTCGCTCCGAATGTGCATGCCAGGACAAGACAGCCAACTCCGCCGGGCATTCCCAGCATCGCGCCCGCGGAACGCAGGGCCTGGAGGACAACAAATCCCTCCCAAGCCTTGAGGGGAGAAGCAGGACCTATTGACTCTTGGGCTCTGCTCGCTATCCATCAGCGCCCCTTCCTCCCAGCCCCTTCCTCGTGCCTTTTCCCCCCCGGAGACCCAGTCTCTTACGTCTCCCAAGGGCCCCAGCACGGGCATTAATGGCTCCTCCTCACCCTCTCAGACAGACAAGCCGTACTGGGGACTGGGGACAGCCCTACTAAGTGTCGTTCTCCGTCTCTTCTCCCAGAGTCTCCTGTTTTGTGCGGTTTCTTCAGTCTCAGTCCTTGGAAGTCCCGCCCACAGATATGGTAGAGACCTAATCTGCAGCCCTTCGCCAGCCCCGCCCATCCAGCCCATGGGCAGCCTGAGATCTTCCCAGCTAACGTGAGTGCATGGTCGGGGTCCTGGGGAAGGAGGCGTAACCCAAGTGTATACACTCCTAGGATTCTGCTCGTCCAACTCTGGTCTACCACGCTACCATCTCCCGGAGTCAGGAGGCTCAGTGACTAAGTTTACACCCCTTCCACCATCAAGGAACTCTAGAAAAAAATAAATCAGCCTTAGCAAGACGGTGGACACCCCGCTGCTGATCCCCAGGCCACCTTGTAGGGAGTGGTCATTGTAGGGTTTCAGAGTGACCAGTACTTCCGGAGTAGGCCACCGGCTTCACTTTGTTGAAGACCGTTGGGATTGTACAAAGACACACACACCAGGCACCAGACTAACCTGGCATTGGGTGGGGGCGTCGTTATAATGATCACTCCAAAGAGATTTAGAGGACCCTGGTGACGCTGTCGCAATGCATTCCCTATAAGCTACTCCCCCGGACAGGCATTCCTGGCAGGTGAGCATACCAGGAAGCCTTTTAAGAGGCTGCCTAGGAGCTAGCGTGCAGGGGGCGGTGCTGGCCCTAATGGGCGGGCCAGACTACTTGGTTCACGTGTGCGACGAAACCACGGAGGAAGGGAAGAGAAACCCAGAGAACCGGTTCTCCAGCCTTAGCTGTCCAAGCCCCTACGTCAAAATCCCCGGACTAAATAAGGCAGGGACACTTCTAAGGTAGAACAACTTGGGGGCTGCCCTACAGCCTGCGCCCCGAGACTTATCTCGCCCTCCCGGAGGGCAAACTCCTATAGGGAGGGGGCACTTAAGAGCTTCCCACGGATTCCCTGCAGGCTGGAGGCGTCAGGGTGAGGCGAGACGGGGGCAGAGGAGCGGCCGGAAAGGGGTCTTAATTCCCAATTCGCCAACCAGGAAAACGAGGTTCAGCCAATCTTCAGGCAAATGTGCTATCCTGCAGTCACCGCGAGTCTCTAAGCCAAAGTCCCCCCCCCCGACCCCTCCGAGAGTAAAGTTGGGCTTCTATCACCCTTAACTTCTCACCAGGGGATAGCAGGGAGACACATAACTCACAATCAACGACACAGAATGGAATCTTAAGAATGAGAGCTTTGGAGATGATTTTATCCACGTCCCCATTTCAGAGAAGGAAAAACTGAAGCCCGAATGCAGTGGACGTGGGCAGGAGCGGGACTCGAACCCTCTTTGTCTTTGAGCCCCAGGACTCCATGCTCTTCCCCGCTGCGCAGTCCTGACCTTGGCGGCTCCTTTCCTTGTTGCCTGCAGGAAAGCGCGGTGGCCGCGATGGCGGCGGACGTCGAGGGGGACGTGTACGTGCTGGTGGAGCACCCCTTCGAGTACACGGGCAAAGACGGGCGCCGTATCGCCATCCAACCCAACGAGCGTTACCGACTGCTGCGCCGCAGCACCGAGCACTGGTGGCACGTGCGGCGGGAGCCCGGGGGTCGCCCCTTCTACCTCCCGGCGCAGTACGTACGCGAGCTGCCCGCGCTCGGCGACCCGGCCCCGGCCCCGCAGCCTTCCGTACCGCAGCAGCGCCCCGCAGTCCCGGAGCCTCTGGCCTACGACTACCGCTTCGTGAGCACCCCGGTGGGCGCCGATGGGTCCTCTACCGAGCCCCGGGGCCGCGCCAGCTCCCTGTGTGGTCCTGCACGACAGCGTACCGGTGGCCAACGCAACAGCCTGGCTCCGGGAGGGCCCGCCTGCCTGTACGTGCGGCCCGCCGCACCGGTGCGACCGGCGCAGTCCCTGGATGACTTGGCGCGCGGCGGCACCGCGCCCCCTGCCGGCCTCCTCGGCAGCGCGGGCCACTTCAAGGCCTCCAGCGTGGCGGGCTCCTGGGTTTGCCCGCGGCCCCTGGCTCGTAGCGACTCCGAGAATGTCTACGAGGCCATCCCCGACTTGCGATGCCCTCCGCAGGCGGAGAGCCCAAAGCAGGTAGGTCGCCGCGAGCGAGGGGGAGGGAGCGGGAGGGAGGTCACAATCCAGCAGAGCCTAGACGATTTAAAAAAAAAAAAAAACCTGAGGTCACTGGTTGTCCCTCCACCTCAATTATAGTAAATATTCGTGTTTTCATGCACAATGCAAATGAGCTTGATTACAGGGTGCTGCCCCAAAGCCTGCTGGGAGGTTAACTAACCTATGACAGGTGCCTGCGCCGAATAACATTCCTAAAATGCCACCTGCTCTGTAAGGACCCGCTTGGAGAGGTGGACTCTCCTCTTCCCTAGAAACTGAGGGTAGAGGTCGGATCTGATCAGATGGTGGATGTGAAAGTCAGGCATCTGCTTCTCTTGGGCGCAGCTTCCAATATTTCAGTTCCTTAAACAAAAACAAAAATTCTTAATGTGCTTGTTTCGAGTTTAGTTATGGTGAGATCTTTTCTCTTTCGGAATCTGATTGTGTTAATCTAAGACACTGGAAACAGAGCTCGTTCCTAACACATCTTTATACCCTTGGAATCCTCTTGCTTTGCCCGGTCCTTTTGAACTTTAGAGCCTTTTAGGGAGGGACAGCCTGCGGGAGGAGAAGGGATGCCTCCAAATGGTTGACATCGGCCACCCGCTGTGGCATTATCCACAACTCACTTCCTCTTTCAGGCACTGAGTCCCGGGCGCCCTCACCCAGAAGGTGCGACCCCATAGGCCCGCTACTTGGCCTTGCCTCTGCTAGCAGAGTTTAGGTTTTGAGGCTACTGAAACCTGAATTTGACTCTGCTGGGTCATCTGCCAGCTGCTGACGAGCTCGGTGTCCTCGTAGGTAAACAATACCCAAGGAATAAAGTTGTTGTGAGCCTTAAACGCAGTGAGGCGTGGAAGCACTTGGCACTAGTGGATGCACGAAGAGTAATAAGGTTCCATTCGCTGTTCGCTGCAGCCCTGAGCCTCTGCGCTCAGATTTCCGCGCATCATCCCTTCCCCCTTGTGGGCACTGCGGAGAACAACACTCGGCGGGCTTAAGTGTCTGCGGCAGATCAATGGTCGTCCTGGTTATGCGCCAGCTAAGCTGGTCAGGCGCCTGTGGTATACAGATGGCTAAACATCCGCGCTCGGTTCCCTGGCGCCCTTGAGCAGGCTCTCTTCCTCTAGAGAACTCCAGGGCCTTTCCAGATTGTGGGTCCTAGTAATCTTGGGAATGTGTCGTGTGCCCCCATGAGCTCTTAGCTGTGGGAATGGCACCCGTGTGGGAATGGCTGCTCCCCAGCGACCGGACAAGGCCTTTCTCGTACTGTCTTAAGAAACGTGGAGCTGCAACCACATCACCCATGAACCAGGACTATGTAAGTCCGTCCAAGGGCAGCAATCCAAGCTCCGGGACCAAAGAGAAAGAGACCCCCGTCCCCACCCCAGCTGCCAGAATCTCCTGAGAAATTTTCCCGGTCCAGAAGTCTGCCAGGGTTCCAGACCAGTGTCACCTCCCCATCCCTCCTCCCGCTCCCAGCAGGCTCCCTGTTGCCAGTAGTTTGGAGACACCTTTGAAGGTGGACTGTTAACAGACACAAAAGGGAGCCAGGAAGTCTGCCAGAGATCTGGATGCTGCGCAAAGAGGCTGCTGCCTGCCTCTAATTAACTCGTTGGCTTCCACAGAGTGCTCTACGTCTCTGGTCCTGTTTGCTCTGAAGTGTAACAATGGCACATTCTCTGTTGTCCCTCTCCCGGACACTCTGTCCCCAGCAAACTGCAAGGATGGTGTTTGTTCTCTCTTGGGAAGGAAATCTCACCCTTGCCCTTCCTTGTCCCAGGCAACATGGGAAGGAATTTCCTGAAAGGTGATCCTGGCCATTTTCCAAAGAGTATAGATGCATAAGTACGGGGGCATGCACGGGCGCACACACACACACACTCACACACACACACACGCACCCCTGCTCATGCTCCCACTCCCCACCCTCTTAGCTCCTCACAGCCTCCAGCCACCATCCCCCAAGTCTATTTGCTTCAGTGTCCCCTCCCCCCACCCCTTACTCCAGCCATCAGACCTAGGGATAATGGTAGCACAGCGGCCTGGGTGGTATAGATGCCCCTGCCACACGTTGTTCAGCGTGTATGGACCTATGGTGAGGGTGCCATAGAGCAAGGACAGAGGAGATACGTGAACAGGCCCTTATGGGGGGGGGGGGAGTTGTAGTTCTATCTTAGCCCAATGTTCGTGCTAGCTGTGGTACCTACCATCAGGCAGGGCATTGTGGGAATTTGGACGTTATCCTGAAGCCGCTGGAAGGCTCTTGGTAGGGAATGGGACGGATTTGAGAAGGACCCTGGACCAGGGAAGAACAGTTGGGCCGAGTGGTAGCTTCCCACTCACACTGGTGGGCGGCCAGCAGTTTCCAGGGGCCTTGGAGGGAGCCTGCGGTGGGAACAGATGGGGTGCACCCGGATAGAGTCGTCAAAAGGAGGAAAAGAGGAACTCAAGAGGAAACGAAGGGACCACAGAGGACGAGCAGGGGCCTAAAAGCCAAGGTGACTGTGCACAGGCTCAAGTCAGACAAAGGCACAGGACATTATCTGACATGGCTACCAGAAGGCTGGCTTGTCAGAGGATTGCAGGAGACAGAAGGCTGTGGGTCAGGGACTGAGGATGTGGGTGGAAACGGCAGGCAGCAGGCAACAGTTTGGTAGAGAAAAGAAAGATACGCTGTGGTCAGTTGGAAGGGTGAACAGATTGCATCATCCCAAAGTCTATGTGAATGGATGAGGCAGGAGTGGGAAAGGCTGAAGCAGGAGGAGGGATGATCAGATAGGCGCCCTGGAAGGGCGTGACTGGAAACAGGAGCAAAGGTGTGGACCACGAGGTGTCACGGGGTGAAAGGGCATCTGCCTGTCACATACCAGTTCAGGCCTTAGGGCAGGCCAGTCAGCCAGAGAAGAGGAAGCTTGGACCATATTTGGCATTTTATGTTCATGGCTCCTGCAAGTACCACACACGGCACCTGGTGTGCGTTGGTCACTCAGCTGAACACCTTGGGCTGAGGTGTAGTAAGACAGTCCCCAGGGGCCAGCAGTCCTACGTCCTCTCACTCAGAGGCCTGCGCACACAGCTCAGGCTGGTGTCTAGCAGCTCAGAAGGCAGCAGCATAGGATGCCCTTCTGCCCTCAAAGCAAACAGGATCCTAGGAGGAAGTGAGTTCCTATCAGACCAGGAATTCAGACTCCAAACCCCACCCTTGCCACCAAGTTTAGTCTCAGCGAGGTGGCCATCAGTAGTGGCCAGCCCTGTTCCTCTGAGCCTACAGTGGGAGCGGAAGAAAAGCAAAACACTCTCTTCTGAGCACATTGCCCAACCTGGGACCCTCCAGCGCTCACCACCTTCATCCAGGGCACAGGGTGGGGATGAGGATTAGCTAGCCTGTGCTCCTGACAGGGTTAGGGCCACAGAGGTGGCCAAGCAACAAAGTAGCCTCTGAGGCCCTGTCTGTAATCCCAGCTACTCAGGAGGCTGAAGCAGGAGGAACCCATTTTCAAGGGCACATTGGGCTATCTAGAGTCCATTAAAGGCTAGCCTGGTCCACACAGTCTCTCAAAATAATGAGTAAAAAGAGAGATGAGATGTATGGTTCACGCCTAAAATGTTTCAGACACTGGGTTCAGTCCCCAGTATTGCCCTTCCCCTGTGGCCTCTGGCCTCTCTAGCTAGTAGATTTTGGGGTGTGGTCAAAAACGCCTGCCCTAACCTTGTAGGTAGGAAGGCTCAGGGAACAGATGGTCTAAGGCCCGCCCCCTGCTGCCTGGGCATTGGCCACTGGCAGGACAGGTTACAGGCCTTGCTGGAACTTATGCAAACAGCCCCAGAAGCATTGCTTCTGAGCTCAGACACAACCTGGACTGGAAGGAGCCCCTCTGAGCCCTCGGTTCTCCCACCTGAGCTGTCAGGAACTGTGAGTGATACCTCCCGGGTCCTGGGGGTTGGGGGTTGGGGGAGAAAGCACTTGCCTCCCTCCCAAATTCCCTACCTGATCTCTCCCTGTCCTGTACACTTCCTGGGACGAAGATCTCAGGGACAGACTCAGCCAACCATGTGCTCTGAAAAGCTAAGAATCAGTAAAAGCAGGGAGCAGAGGCCGAGATACGGAGATCCAACTAGCTGCCCCCACCACCGAGTCTCCCAACAGATCCCTAGCTTGGGCAGCTGCTCACCTGGTTTCTTCATACCTATCCGGATCTTTTCCACCCCGCTGACCCACCCTGCAGCCCCAGGACCTGGCCTCAGGGTTTGGCTTAAGAGAGAGTGAGTAGGAAGAACAGGTCCTCCCATCCCCCCCACACACACACCTTCTTTACCTCACCTACCTGGGCTCCTACTCACTGCCCTCACCCCCGAAAGCTGGGTAGCCACCCTGTGTTCTTTAGACCCTAGGGGGCAGAAATCTTGCTCATTCTTGATCTCCGTTTCCCCTCATCCAGCTTTAAAGCTGCGTCTTCCATCTATCTGAACCCTGGACTCTCTCTCTTTTTTTCTGCCCTCTGCTCAGAAGTGGGAGGGGACAGTCTTCAATACCGGCTGGCCAGGTGGTCAGTGCTAGGTCCTGAAGCACAAGAAGGCCCATGGTCATAGTAACTGGGGTCTGGAATGTGCTCCAGGCTCCATGCCAGAAAAGCATTCGGGGTGATGAGCCAGGGCACATTGGTTGGCCGATGTCTCGAGGAGCAGGAACAGCCAGGCCCGTGGCTCTGGGGCATAAGAGTGCTTGGTTAAATTAGGGAAGCTCCAGTTTCTAAATTGAGGAAGGACTGTGGTACTGAGGGGATTTACAGATCTCCCTCCCTGCCCTCCTACCCAGCTCATCTGAAGGCTCCTGAGGGTCCCTGTCCTGCGTCCTTCTTGACTGGAGACTGGAGGTCTCCTGTCTAAACCTGGGACACAGAGGAGCAGGGGCTGCCTCGAAGGCGGCCTCTCTCTTCCTTGTCCCCAGGCAGGAACATTCTCCAGGCTGTTTGACTGTGAGAATTCTCTACCCTTCCCTGTAAAATGATTTGACTTCTTTTTAAATGTTGGGGGGTAAATTGCAGTCTATTTCTGCCCGCTTTGGGGTCCTCTCCATGCATCTGGTTCCCAGGCTTCCTTGTGCAAGTTTGCCACAGGCCGGTTCAGTTGGCTGATAGTGAAGGGCAGTCGCTGGGGCTTGCTCCCTCCCATTCAGTCAGAAACGGTGGGTGCCATACTGGGCACCATGAAAGCAAAGAAAGCAAAGCAGATAGCTTATTGTCCAGGAGGCCAGACAGAGCAGCAAATGCACCATTAGGAGATGTGTAGCAAACATGTCCCCAAGGTGCCACAGAAGGCACTTGAAAGCGTCTCTCTCCAGGGATGAGATTGGATTGGCAGGAAATATTTCAGAAGGAAGTGATGTCCTAAAGGACGCTGTAATTTCTTCCCATGGAACCTTCCAGACCAGGGCACGTTCCCATGGCAGCTTTTCCCATGGCAGTATTATTTTATTTTCCCCATCACTATTACCCTGTCTGTTTCAACATTTTTCCTAGTTCCCTAGTTCATTTTGGCTGTTTGACATTTCATTAGGAAAGTATTCGTTTTCCCTAGATTTTTAAAAATTTCCTCTTTAGAAATTTAGTATGAGCTGGGGGTGATGGCACACACCTGTCATGCCAGCATTTGGCGACCAGAAGCAGGAGAATCAATCACAAGTTCAAAGCCATCTGGGACAACTTACCAAGAACTCATCTCAAAAACAAAAATAAACCAGGGCCAATTGCTTGTCTTTAGAAGAAACATTTACTTTGCTCGTGTTTCATTTAAGAGCTGATTCCTTCTGCTGGATTTATTGTGTCTGGAGTTTATTGCCAAGTTTTGCATTTCTTGGTTGGCCTTGTGGTCTTCCCCCAATGATCCGGTAGTAACTGGCTTCCCTTTTCTTCTGTCATATTTTCCATTTCATCACTGGCTTCTGCCTCTGTCCTTGTGTCCCAGTCAAATGAGAATCCCGTGTCCCATCCAATGCTTAGAGAACCTGCTAGATTCGGTCCCTGTATGAATTTTCCTCTCCTTTGCTTTCTTTCACTGGAGAACTGGCTTTCTGGAGTCCGTCCCCCCGCTTATCCTCCCCCTTTGCTCACATCACTTTGTATTTGTGCACTGGGGAGAATTCTTTCTGCTTGAACTTGAGCCCACAAGTTTGAACCTGGTGAATAAAATCTTTTCCTTCAGTGAGTACAGTCCTACGTGATTTGACTCTCCCTAAGAGGTCTTGCTTTTCAGTTCAAGTTGTAATTGCATTGATTGCCCCTGCCTTCTGCTAAGAGTCTTAAAACATTTTTAAGTTTTAAGAAATATGTGTGCAGAGTTTTTAAAAAATAATATTTTTAATATTTATATATACAGTAAACTCTCACAGGCCCCTCCCTGCTTCCTTGCCTGGCCTCTGTTGGCCACAAATCACCACCTACATTCTTTATTTTTCTCCTGATTTCGTTACACAGACACAGACGAGTATAAATAGGAATTGGGTAACTTCACCTTCTGTGTCTCCTACACAAAGGAAACTGGAGCCCTGTGTACAGTGTTGTGTTGAGTTTTTCACCTTTAAAAATGTATTATTTTGCCGGGCAGTGGTGGCACATGCCTTTAATCCCAGCACTTGGGAGGCAGAGGCAGATGGATTTCTGAGTTCGAGGCCAGCCTGGTCTGTAGAGTAAGTTCCAGGACAGCCAGGGCTATACAGAGAAATCCTGTCTCAAAAAACCAACAACAACAACAAAAAAGTATTATTTTATATGTATCGGTGTTTTACCTGAGCATTTGTCTGTGCACCACACATGTACAGTGACCAGAAGAGGGAGCTGGATTCCTTGGAACTGGAGTTGCAGGTAGTTGTGTGTCACCATGTGGGTGCTGGGAATTGAACCCAGGTCCTCTGGAGAAGCACCCAACGCTCTCAACAGCCATCTCTCCAGCTCCAATATTTTGATTTTTTAATTGACAGAGCAGTCACACATATTTGTAGCACAGAGTGAGATCCCGTCCATGTATAAAAAGCATGATGATTATTGTAAGCATACTGATCATCACAGACATTCATTTGTGTTGGGAACATTTAAAATCCTCTCTGCTCTGGTAACCAGTACTTCCTGTTCTATTTCATCAAAGCCAACACTTTGGGTCCCACATTTAAGTGAGATCACACGCTATTTGTTGTTCTGTGACTGGTTTATTTCACTTAACATAGTGTCCTCCAGTTACATGCATGCGGTTCTATAGAATTTCAATCTATTGTGGCTGCACAGTATTCCGTTGTGTGTCTCCTTTATCCGTCCACTGATGGAGGACTAGGTTGACTCTGTGTGTTGGTTCTTGTGAAGGAGCTACAGTGATCATGGCGGTGCAGATGTCTCCTTGGCATACTGACTCCGATTCCTTTGGATATGTGCCCACAGTGAGGTGGCTGCAACATCTATAGCTCTGTTTCTAGCTTTTTCCTGAGGAAGTCTGATGCTGATTTGCATACTGGCAGTACTAGTTTACATCTCCCCCAGGCTGCCGGGGGAATTCCAATTCCCCTATATCTCGCTAGCGTTTGTTACTTCTTTTTTTTTTTTTTTTCTAGATTTTAAAATTTATGTGTGCGTGTGCGTGTGTGTGCCTGTGTGAGTTTATGTGTACCATGTCCATGCAGAGGCCAGCAGAGGGCGTCAGAGTCCCTGGAACTGGAGTTATATGCAGTTAGTTGTGAGCTGCTCAGTGTGGGCAAGACGGGAACCAACCCTGGATCCTCTGTAAGAGCGGGGCAGCTCTCCGCTGCTGAACAATCTCTCCAGCCACCATTTATTGCTTCTAGTTTTACAAATTTTCTTTTTAACTTTTTTTTTTCAGTGCTAGAGATCAAATCCTAGGTTGTTTGGTTGGTTTCTCGGTTGGTTGGTTTGGTTTGGTTTTTTGGTAAACCAAACACAGTATCATGTGCTTGTATCTGCTACAGTCTGGACCATTTGAGCCCAGAGACTGGAGACCAGTCTGAACAACCTAATAAGACTTGGGCGGG